TTCACTGATGGGATCAATAAGATGGTGGGAGTCCTACCTATTGAGCTGGCCGTCAAAAGCTCATCATAACTCTTTTTTTTGTGATTGACAACGACCTCCTATAATGTACTTTTAGGTCGAGATTGAATCCATCTAAGTGAATGTGTCCCATAAACTCTCCACTAAAAGCTAATATTATGGAACTTCGAACCCCGTTTGTGGATGACATTCACATAGAAGACGCTTGGCTATAAGACGAAGGGATAGGGCCAGTGAAATTTTAGGGATAGAACAAGTATGGAAATCCTAGAGAGGTTAAGTTTCAAATTGACTTGAAAACTACAGAGGTCCAACAGGTGGAGTAAGAGATCATTCAGCCCACAAACATACTAAGGCCGAACAACTCCAGAAACATTGAAAGTTTGGTTGATGATGGAACCCAACAATAGTTAGCTAAGGAAGCAGGTCGTGAGGGCTTGCATTGTCAGGATAAGAACATATCTGGCAGAGAGGAAGGCAGCAGCATTGCAAGGCTGACGAACAACAAGACACCATTAACATGGTGGAGTGCAAGGAGAAAAAGGTCGGAATGACCACCTCCCAAGAGTTCATTGAGTTAAAAGAAATTAGTGCTACCCCAGCCAAGCTTGACAATCTCGTAGAGGTTGAGGATCCTTTACTTGAAGTCAACCTTGGAGGGCCAAAGGAGCATAGGTCAACATTCGTTAGTAATCTGCTAGAGTCAAACTTTCAAGCACGGCTCATACAGCTACTAAAGGAGTACTAGAATTGTTTTGCTTGGAGCTACGAAGAGATGTCAAGGTTAGATCTAGCCTTAGTGGAACACTGATTACCCATTAGGGACTGATATAGGCCGATTAAATAGGCCCCGAAGTTGATATCCCAAGAGGTGATCCTACTAGTCAAAGGAAGAAATTGAATGTCTTTTGCAAGCCAAATGCATCCAAATAGCATGATACGCAAAATAGGTGTCAAACATCGTGCCAGTAAAGAAGAAGAATGGCAAAGTCAGGGTATGTTATGACTACCGAGACCTCAATGTAGTAACCTCAAAGGATGAGAATGTAATGCAAATGGCTAATCAGCTAGTGGATGCGGCCATGAATGTCATCATGTCGTTCATGGATGGCAATGCAGGGTATCATCATATTTTTATTGCCGAGGATGACAGACACAAGACCGCCTTCAGATTTCTCGAATCAATGGGAACGTTTGAATGGAGGGTCATGTCGTTCGGGTTGAAGAACGAGAGAGTAAGATACCAGATAGCTATGAGCACCATCTTTCATAACATGATCAACAAAATCGTGCATGTGTACATTGACGACATCATAGTTAAGACAAAGATTATGGAGAGACATATTAACGATCTGAGGGTTGTTTTTAAGAGGATGCATATTCATGAGTTGAGCATGAATCTGTTGAAGTGTGCATTCAGGTAGGAAATTTTTTTAGAGTTTTGATGCACAATAAGAGAATTGAGGTAAACTAAAATAAGACAAAGGCTATCATAGAGGTCATGCCTCAAAGGACCAAGAAAGAGATATATCACCAATCAGGTCAAATCAATTTCCTCTGATGATTCATCGCCAACTGCTTAGGGAAGGTGCAGAAATTCTCGCTACTTCTAAAGTTAAAAGGTGTAGAGGACATCAAGTGGGAGACACAACACCAACAAGTCTTTCACCAAATCAAAGAATACTTGACCAACCCACCGGTCCTCGTGCTTATAAAGGGTAGGCCGCTATTATTGTACTTGTTAGCAGCACATGAATCTATTTGATATTTATTGGCTCAAAATAATAATACAGGCAAAGAACAAGTCATTTATTATTGAAGTAGAATATTGACTCCGGTCAAACAACATTATAAGTCAATAGCTAAGTTTTGTTTAGTATTGTACTTTGCATCATAAATGTTAAGAATCTAATGGAATTCTCGCTGCAATATTTATCGCAGCACGTGGTCAATTGTTTTCTTGGTAGACCACCCTTGCATAGAGGTAGAGCAAGATACAAGGAATTCAATTAGTTTGTTAGGGGTACCCATAGTGTCTCTTATGCCATGGAAACTAAAATTCAATGGATTGCGGACACGAGAGTCTACAGGGGCCAGGCTGGTCATTGAGTCACCCTAGGATTACGAAACCCAACTTTATTTCAAATTGAAATTTGAATGCACTAACAACCAGGTGGAGTATGAGGCATTAATCATTAGATTTGAGGTTTTGTTGGGAATGGGGGCATTAACAGTCGAAATAATCAGTGATTCTCAATTGGTCATCAACCAAATAACGGGCAATTTTTCAATACAAGAGTTGGGAGTTGTGCCCCTTCCACTCAATTGCATTGTCTTTATTGTCAAATTTTGACGATGTAACATTGCAACCGATCCAAAAGGAGTTAAACTGCTAGGTTAATAGCTTGGCCTAGTTGGGATCAAGATTGAGAATTTCCGGTGAAATGAACAAGCAGTTGATCAAAGTTCAGAAGAGATCACTGTCATCCATCAAAGCCAGAGGAATGGATTTCAAAGAATTGATGGTGGAGATGGAAGAGGAAGACTGAAGATTTGGCATCATACTATTCCTAAAGTACCCAAATAGAGAGGTAGAACGAGACGAAGGGTTGCTGGCTATATTTTTATGGATAGGGAACTGTACCAAAAATGGATGCATGATGACTTATTGTTGAGATGCATTGAGAAGAAAAAGACCATATTGATAATGGCCAAAAGCCATGAAGGCATGTGCGGCGCCCATCAAGCCAGCATTAAGATGTGTTAGCGTATTAGGAGATATAACTATTATTGGGCAAGTATCCTAAATGATTGCATCGAATATGCAAGGGGTTGTCAGGCATGTCATCGCCATGGACCTATCCAGAGGGCATCAGCAATACAGATGCGACTTTAATAAAGTCATGGTAGTTTAGAGCATGGGCTATGGACTTAATTGGGAAAACCTTTCCCCTATCTACAAGACAACACTCTTTTATCATCTTGGCCACCAACTATTACACTAAGTGGATAGATGCCATTCTGATGAAGACAATGAACTAGGCTGACGTTATTTGAATGATAAAGAAGAACATAGTGCATCGGTTCGAGCTTCCCCAGCACATAGTGGCCAACCAGGGAATAGTTTTTGTAGGAAGTGAAGTTAAGAGGTTTGTAGAGGAATATGGTTTTAACGTCATTCATTCAACTCCGTACTACGCGCAAGAAAACAGCCAAGCCGAGTCCACCTATAAAGTGATAAAAGGAATTATTGTCAAGATTGTGAAAGACAATCCAAAATGCTGGGATGACAAGTTATCAGAAACATTATGGGTGTGTAGAACGTCCAAACAGTCGAGTACCGAATTTACACCATTCAAGTTGACGTACGAACATGATGCGGTCTTGCCAATGGAAATCACTGTGAAGTCGTTGCTAGTGGATTTCCAGCATAACCTAAGTCCGGTAGAATATGACAAAACCATGATGATAGAGCTCGAAGACTTAGATGAAGTGCGAATGGGCATGCTAGATTGCATTAAAGTGCAAAAGCTAAGGGCCACTAGGGCGTGCAACAGAAAAGTCAAAGACAAGGTGTTTGAGGTTGGTGACTTGGTTTGGAAGGCAAGGTTTCCTTTAGGACTTAATGATCAAAGGTTTGACAAATGGTCTGCCTACTAGGAAGGGCCGTTTGAATTCCTAGAAATTAAGAAAGGTGGTGTTTACCACTTAAGGCACTTAGATGGATAGCGCCATAATTGCTGCCTGAACGGATAGTTCTTGAAGGCCTACAGACCAACGGTCTGGGAGGACATAGAACGCGAACAAAACAGTTAAAAAGAAAGTGTCGTAGTTGACAGTCAATGCAGGCCGATGGCCACTACATTGTTCGTCCTAATACTTGACAATTGTATAAAATTGCAAGAAAGAAGTAAAAGATGGACGAATTAAGGATAATATTGTAAGTTTTATTTATGAAGTTTTGTACATATTCAATGGATACAATTTGCAAACATAAAGAAAAGTGAAGTGTTGTGTCGAATGAGTTGAAGATCTTTACCCCAGCTTGAAAATGACAACTTGTATGTTAGAGACAAAGAAAGGAGCGAGTGAGCGAAATCTTGGGTGAATGAGACAAAATGGCCTCAAACACAAGCCTTCCCAATCAAAAGCATTATTTAGTCCCCACCTTTCAATTATAGGTGGGTGCTGATGTTTACTCGAAATCTCTTGATGCAAAAGAAGATTATTACATCATACATCAAGTTGAGTGGTTAGCTGATGACAACCTTACCAAACCAATAGTTCGACCTGTCTTCAATAATCTTTGCTCCAAGTTGGACATCTTTGATTTTTATTTTTCAGTATGAGGGAGAATATTAGAGTTCTTATTGTATATTATTAGTAGTGTAGCGAATATTGTAATTATCCACAATATTAGTTTATTATAAATAAGGAGGTATAGGACAACACAACCTGCACATCTGATTATTCTCTCTAAACCTATTATTCCCTCTTTCTTTTCTTTTTCTCGCTTTCTCTAACTCTAACAATGTTTTTTCTTGTTTGAAGTTTTGGAGGTAAGGTTTCCATTGGGTGCTAGAGATCCAACAAGGAATATAGGGGTGTTTAAGTTTGTACAGATGTGTTGTAAATTTAAAAAATAGGTAAATGCGTACCTTAGGTGGCCGATTGCTGTATTCTCAACTCTAGTTTCCTTCCATCTTTGTAATTGATGAAAGGTAGACCACCACTGGAATTTTCCTGGCTTTGGAGTTGTTTGCTGCACATATCGTCTTAGACTACAAATGATCAGAAGTCTACAAGAGGTAGCGCATACTGATCACTAAGACATAGAACACATTGATAAAAACAGAAAGGGAACATCACGGGGTATGCTCTCCTACGTGATGTATTCACATTGGGATGCATTTTCCAATGTGAATGTTTTAAGAATAATGACCCAAGATACAAAGTTTTAAAGCAACCAAGTATTTAATTACCATAGGCAAATGTGTCGAGAACGCTATTGGAACAAAATTTTTATTGAAATAAAAGAAAAAAGTCCCACTAATTACTCTTATAATTATACAAGCGGCAAAAAATAACATTATGGAGGATAGTGCTGAGAACTGAATTTGTCATGGCACACAACCATTGCCTGAAAAATCAGTCAAAATTAGGGGTCAACGTGTGAAGGCTCGTTGACAAGTAGAATACAAATTCACTCTGAATTTTAGATGTTATGGTACCTAAACTTGAAGTCGAGGATCGTCTCACTTCCTGCTCTTGACATGAACAAACCAGGACAAGCCTTCAAGCATGTAAGTTCCACAACAAAAATGTTGCACACCCTATAATGCTCGTTGACCCAGCTGATCTCCATCTCTTTTTACAGCAACGTCATATGCATCTGCTTGCAGATTCGCCAAAACTTCTGAAAGAATTGTATCTCCTTATCTTTCTGAATCCCCTGACATATCAGAATATGACTGAATCTTTCAGTCTACAAGTAAAGTGATGCGGCAAAGACGATGTCCCTCTTGATCTTGGAAACAGCATCTTCAAATTTGGCTTCAAGCTCTGTTTCTCCAATGGATTTTGCAGCTTGTATCAACTGTTGAAGAACTTCCTCCAGTCTTCTGATAGCTCTGATCAAGCTTCCCTCGAAAACCTGTGTGATTTCCATTATCTCATAGAATTTGGACCCTTTTGCCCAAGCATACACGGCCTCCATGATATCAGGCCGAAAAGAACTTACGAAATTCTCCACATCAATTTGAACCTGTGAAAACCACAGATATTAGAAGTCAGTCAACGTTGAGCTTAACAAGAAGCAAAAGAAAAAAAAAATGAACATTCATGGCAAAGTCACATATAGAGTAACCAGGGATATTGAGGGAAACTTCAATAAAATATCACACTGCATCTAACAACTTTTTCTGCCATAACTAACCAAAAGTGGAAGCTGAATCAGTTGCAGGCTATAATATAGAATGTGTAGAAAAACCACATCAGGTTAATACGTCCATGATAGTGTTAGTTCAACCCATCTCATATTACATTATTATGCTGTGCAATCAACAAAATGCTGGAAAGCTTTGCTAACATCCAAAAGAAACCAAAACTAAATATGCCATTTTAAAAGGTAAACTAAATTTGCTAAAATGACCTTCTAAGATACAATCTACAAAATTAAAGCAATTATTGTTGAGAATCATAAAATTCCCTCCATTCTGTGGGCAATCCGTCGAGCAAGCATCTTCTATTGGACCAAGCACCAGCATTTCAGGAGGAAGTGAGGCTGTTTCATTGTTGGTGATAGTTAAATTGACGGTTTGAAGGAGAAAACAGCCAGAAGAAAGTTTGTTTTTATTAATAGGTGGATAAGAAGGAAGATCTTTTAGTCTTGGATTTTTTTCCCACAAGATATTAGAATCTATATCAAGGTATTTCCTGCGGGTTTCTAATTCTGACCTATCAGCAAATTTTTAAACGTCATGGCTCGTGAGGTGTGACCAAAAACGAATTTAGGTTTAATAAGGATTCTGCAGTTTGTTAAATCATTCAAGAGTCGACGGTACTTTGTTAATACAATCATCCAGCTAGTTTCTTATGGTGTGGGATGCAAAATTTTTTAAGCACACCCCCACCCCCAACCCTCAAAAAAAAAAAAAAATGAGAATGTATTGTAGCATGAGGGCCAGCCCTTGAGCTAGTTTCATAACAAATTCTGTGATGCACTAAATTGTTCTAACCAGTGTTTTAAAAAGCACGCCTAGGCGCTCACCTAGGCGAGAAGTGAGGCAAAGCGAAGGTATCTCGCCTAGAACACCCCACGCGAAGCGAATGTGACTGAAGTGAGAAAAAAGTGAATGCCTTGCGCTTAAGCGAAAGGTGAAAAAGTGAACGCCTTAGACATTAGAGGCAAAGTTATTTTATTTTTATTATAGACCATTGGATTAGGCAATTGAAAAAAAAATTATAAGATGTTAATACACCGAATTATCCCCTTATCCCATAAATACAACCCAAAACCCCAATTTTTCTCAGATTGCTTTGCTGCTCCTACTCCTACACGATCGACAGAGTCAACACACACGCTGGACTGGACAGAGACGATCGCTGGAGGCTGGACAAAGACGATCATTGCTCCTTCCTCACTGATCTCGCTGATCGTTGCTCCTTCCTCGCTGCACTGGTTAGTCTCCTAACTCTCCTCTTTTTCTTCTCTCTTCTATTTCTCTTCTGGTTCTGGCTCTTCTTCTCTCTTCTAGTTTTTTTTTTCTGTTTCTGTTTTTTTTTTCCAGATTCTGCTCCTGTTTTTCTTTTTTTTTTTTGATTGTGCTTCTAATTCTACTCTTGTTTTTTTTTTCCTGATTGTGTTGTTGTTTTACTATTCTGAATCTGATAGTGTTGTTTTGTCTTGCTGTTGTGCTGTTTTGAATTTGATAGTATTGTTTGATTTTTTTTTTTCTGATTGTGCTTGAATTGTGTGTGTTATGTTTTTAAATATTATGATTTGGGATATTATTAGTGTTTATTTGAATGTAAATGTTTAAGCTATGACTGTTATTAAGATTTAAGATATTATTAGTGTTTGTTTTAATTTAAATGTTTATGGTTTTACTTGCATTTAAATATTTAGTATATATAAAATTAGAACTTCGATGTTTATAAGTAATTAAACTAAAATATTTACTTTTTTTTTTAACTGTTCGCTTCGCTTCTCGCTTCTCGCTTCTCGCCTAGGCGTTAGGAGTCTTGGTCGCTTCGATTCGCTTTACGCCTTAAATAACACTGGTTCTGACTATCTCAAAACAATTTTTTTTGTGACACCAGACTCCAAATTTCAAGTCTTGCACGCATCAATGAGATCTATCTAACACAAAGTTGAAACTTTCAGAAAATAAACACGAAAAATACGTCAATCATACCAAATAAGGCAAACTTCTTAATAAATAAGAATCCACAAAAAAATAAATACAATTGGTACCTTGCACTCAAGCTGAACCTTGGCAACCCTTCGAGCTGTATCTTGCAATTGTGTAAAGAGCAATTGAAGTTCATCCCTGGGCTTCTGAGCATCCTGAAGCTTCTCTTGCCACACAAAACAAGAGAGAAGAGATACCATCTCTTCTACATTGATGTCCTTCAAGACTCCATTAAACATGAGTTCTGTCAAATTCAGCTCATCTGCGCTACTGATTTCACAAGAAACCTTCCCCTTCAACTCCACAACATCATCCCTTGTAGCATGCCTACAAATATTTTATGCCATTAGTTATTCTGAGTTTTAAGTAGTTTAATTTATATGTTATTGTAATAAATATACCACTCGGGGGTATACCAGCCTTTTCGATAATTGTGATACCTATATAGAGTTGAGAGTGAGAGGTACGGCTAATAATTTCTCTTCCCACCTCTCACATAACTTCTCCACAAATCTTCGCTAACCCTAACTCTACATGAATAAAAAAAGTCATCCAAAAAAAATAGAAGGAAAGAAATAAAACAAATCCAGCTCAAACAAAATATGCAAGAGGGAAGAACCAACAGCGTAAATTGACTCTACAATCTTGGTCTTTATAAAAGCATATACAATAAGATTCACACGACATCTGTGTTGTGTCAATGAGAAGCACAAGGGGAAATAGTTCCCTCCCCTCAAACTGAGAGTTTTGCAGTATAGCAAATTTTGAGCTCTAAAAAATTGATGCTAATACATATATTAACATAAACTGGTTTCCACATCTCAATATTCTTATCATACAATCAGTACCTGAGACTTTCTCCATGCTTTGAATTATTCAGCTTGATTGGAGATACTCATTCATGTATACGTTTGAGGACAGAGGACTCGTATCCAATACCACATTCTAATTTTAGACAACCTAAGAACAACCCTTTTTCTGTTTTGGGCAAGTATTCCACTGTCAGACTCTTTAAGAGCAACCCCTCTTTTGGTTTGGTTTTATTTAATCCCCTTATGGATTTGGACGAGGTGGAGTTCAACAGTAAGGAGAGATGACCCAACTTTTACCTGCTTCACGTGTGTGCATTCTTTGGCATGTAAGACAGGCATCCTTCTCAATCAACAATGACGTTAATAACAGAAGCATGCACTGAACACATTTTTGGATATGGCAAAGAAAGAAAAAGGATTTCATCCAGTAGGATAGTCGATGGACAACTCGGACAAAGTTTGTGTCAAGAATATGCGAGAGAAAAGAAAACGGTTGCCATGGCTTAGTAAGAGGAGCTTCATTCTTTTAAATTGAGGCCTCATAAATTAACAATCAAAGTGGGATCTGGGAGGAAAACCTCAGGAGGATTATTACCAGTATCAAATCAGGGCAAGTTCATCCTTGAAAAGAACATGTCCACTACACAAGGAATTCCATCATAACCTACGAATACAACACCGAAAAATAAAGAACTTTTCTTACCCTAGTCTCCTCAGGACCCTTTTCCTCGCTTTAAGTTCATCTTTAAAAGCCAATGCCGTGGAAGAGCGAATTGTTCTCTTAACTGACTTAATTTTGGCCGTAAGTTCTTTCTTCTTGTGTAAAACTTTGAGCTTTTGCTCGATAAGTGGAGACTTTGCAATTTCATGCTTTTCAAACAAGTTCTCTAAGGCCTCAATTCTACGGACTGCCTTTTTGTATGAGCTACTTTGAACCTGCAGAATGTACACAAAAAAGAGTGAAAAACAATACACATGAATAAGGAAGTGCAGTGAAGGAAAAATGAAACACAACCTTCATGTCCTCTTCAGGATCCAATAAAGGCATCCCCTTAGCAAATCTGGAGAGAACTTCAGACACCTTCTTCATAGTATTTTCTCGAGCTTCCAGCGGCAAAAAATCCTTTGGTATTACTAGCCGGACACTACTTAAATTATCAATCTGTTATGTAAATGTATTAAATAAGAGTTCAATCTATAGCCTTAAGATATTATAAGAAAAGAAGTCAACTATTACACTGAAAGAATCTCGCTAAAAAAATATATTGCTGTTATGTTAAGCCACCCAGTGCCAACTACATTGCCAAAAACTATAGAAGCAAAAAAAATGAAGTCTCCGTATTCTCTAATATCACTTTTCCTCCTTTTATAGATATACACACACTGTAATATGAAGAGCAATTAAGCTATAATTTCTCAAAAGAAATATTAGCTTTTAAGCATAAAATATCAAAGAAAAAGAGAGATGGCTTTTCCATTACAGAATTGACCAAGTTTTTCAACAGTGAGGAATGGCCATTGGAGTTAAAGAATACCTGATCAGATTTGTATTCTAATCCACAGATTTGTATTCTAAATTACAATCCACAGATTGAACTACAAATTTTGTGCAGAAAAGATTGACAAAAGGGCCAAAAACAAAACCACATCAATTTTCAATAAAATATAGAAATACGAATTTACGAACAATAGAGTTGTATGATGAACTTTGCCTGAGAGAGAGGAATGGAAACAACAACAGGTTCTCCAGGCTCCTTCAATGGAACTATTTTGATTGTCTTTTTAGCAAGTTCATCCCTACGGACTGCACACCTTGTGAGAACATCCACCGTATAATTTGCATACTCTGGTTGTTTATTTGCATCATCTGAATCAAACAAAGAGTGCAACCAATTTAAAAATACTAATGCTATTGGGACATAATTTGAAGACTTAATGCATTGTTGACCATTGGATTAATAGTGAAGTGCATTCAATGATAGGACCCACTACCAATCCAATGGTCACGATCATTAAGTTCCCAAATTATGTCCAAATAGAATTGCTCATTTAAAAACTTCAGTAGAGTGGCAAAACCAATGCCTACTTAAATACTACCCACCTTCAGAAAGATCTTTCACTCTTTCAAAATTGAGTATCACTCCCCATGTGACCTGCTCCTCTATGGAGAAAGATGCGGAACTTTCATCACTCTTTGTGCACTGGATGCATACTAGCCGGCCAGGCTGCAAGAAGGGCAAGCAGTACCTTGGAGAATAAATAACATCACGAACATCCTTCTTCAAGCTTTTGTACTGCTGTAGCAGAGAGTAATAGTTCTCCAAACTATCTTCTTCTTCAATGACAATTGAATCCCTCTCCTCTTCGAGCATCTTCGCTTGTTTCTGCAATAAAAAAAATCCTCAAATAAGTTGGAACAGAATCAAATGCTAAATACAGAGAGGGAGAGAGAGAGCAAACCAGGTCAATGTCATCTCACCTCAAGATCTGGAATAGCTCTGTCAGCTTGAAATTGATAGAATGAGTTCCGGAGCAAGTTCTCAGGATCACCGTCTTCACATCGCATTTGATTCAAAAGCATGTTGTAGCTTAAATGGAAGGAACTGGGATGCAAAAGAATTTTGTTAATGGGAAGTGAACTCCATAGATTAGTGTATGCCGAGCTGTGGAGCAACAATGGGCTGTCTCATAATGAGAATTACCAGAAACTCAGAATGAGAATAGGTAGTCTACATGAGTTTGGGTGACGTACCACTACGCTAAGTGCACAATCCACAGATGTGGTGGGACAGACCATGTTCTGTGCATCGGATTACGCCCTTTGGGGTGGATGGGGTACATATATTTGATGGGCTTTCCTTGGTTCGGTGTTGGATGAACCATAGACTACTTGAAGGATATTAATATTTTTAGGTAATATCAAGGCATTCATAATCACATTAGATTTACATGATTATTAGATTATTGACTATTTACATATGATGCATGAGTAATCATAATACATGACATTGATGCTTCATCATCGTTTTAGCTAGAGCACCCAAATCCACAATGTATTTGGCACGGATTTGCCATAATGCTACAATTATGGTGAATGCAAGCATGATTTGTGAATGTGCATGATATATGACGTCGATGCTTTATCTGCTCGAGGTATACCTATCAACGTTACTGACAGATTTGTAAGAGCTATTATAAATGGCATTGCCTAAACAGCTTTTGAAAAAAAAAAAAGATTAAAGAAGAATTTTACTAAAGAATGGATGAAAGAAGAAAACGAATTACAATATTGAGGCCCAGATATCCTCAAAGTGAATAAAAACAAGATACATATCAAAGAAAAGTCTTAATGAAAAATCTAAAATAAAGCCGCCTGCCAATTCCGTTGAAGATCCAATAAAGGCAAACTTCCAAAGCTTCATATGGCTTTAATCCAAAGTGAAGCCATAAAAACAATTCTTTCCCATACATATCAAAGAAAATTTATTTTAAATGCTTTGAATTTCGTGAATGGAAATATGAATGGCTGGTTAACAACTCCATGGTTTGGGATAGGATCTCACTAAACTATCATTATCTTACTATAATCACCTCCAAAAATTCGACACATTACCTGATGTGTTACTGACGAACACCAGAAGAAGTAAAACATATTTAATCCAAAAAATCATTCATGATTAAAATCTAGCCCTTCCCTCATAACATCCTCCCCTTAGCAAATAGAATAACTTAATCGTATATATTCTCACATCTAGCCCTTCTCATGTAGCATCATAATGGAAGTAGTTCTCAAAATCATCCTCACATGATATTTTTTATCAAACTCCATGGGGTCTATAAGCAATGCACATTTGTTTGAAAAAAAATAATTGCTTAGAAACAGCAACATCTAAAAAGGATAAGGCACAGGTGTCATATACAAACTATGAGATGTGCTCAACAACCAAACTGGAGCAATGCTAAAACTAAGCCAGTGTGCAAGTTCAGACAGAAAGTTGGCTTCATGGAAAGATGTTCCAAAAGGGATCACCATGTATAATCAACAAATTTCCTTCCACAGTAATTTGTGCATGATTGGTGGATATCAGAAGCACCTACTTCTCACTAATACACATGCATGTTTAAGATAGCTCAAAGCTACCACAAAAGCACTCATCAGAAATTTCACAAGATTTACTGATATAGCAATCGACTACACCAAGTTATCTTAATATGAGAATGTACAATGACTCAAACTGAAGTATTGGGAAAAAGTAGAATGTGAACACAAACGAAAATACAAATTCATTCCTTGATATTTAATCAATTATAAAATAAATAAAAAATCATACAAAATACAATAGCATGTTTATGCACATAAAAAGGCTGTGCCAGAAGTACCAAACTGAAGCAACAGTTACATGCATACCTGTTCAAACAATCAGCACTTCCTTTAAGCATCATTTTGGCAGTAAAGGGCTCCAGCTTCTCGTCCACCATGAGGATGCAGACCCCGCGTTCGTCAATTCCTCGACGACCAGCACGACCACTCATCTGTATATATTCTCCACTGGATATCCATCTAAATTTATCTCCATCGAATTTTCGAACATTTGTGAAGACAACAGTTTTTGCAGGCATGTTCAATCCTATGCTGAATGTTTCTGTCGCAAATAAACACTAAACAAAAAGTGTTTCAATATAAAAAGAAATAAAAATAGAACTTAAAGTAGAATCCGCCTTGCAAAGATCACGACAAGAGTAGAAAACAGTGATCAACGGCCAAAACCAGGAAAAAATTAAAGAAGTTCAAAGCGCAATATGCTTCATTTTGGCTAAAACATTCTGCATTGTTCATAGAGAGTAGAAAATTCATATTCCCTGCCACTTTCATCATAAGCAATTTATCCCCTTTTCCCAGAGTACATAAAAGTCGAAAGATGGTGCTAGTAAATTGCACCAAAGGTTTGGTATATACAAGAAATAAGCAAGAGTCATGTTTGAAGCTGCAAGAATGCCAACATTGGGAGAGTGAACATAGGTTGATTTTCAAATATTATATATGTTACATCATCCCAACCCAAAACCAATTGGCAATGGGTAGAGTGGCTCCTCAAGTATATAAACTAGTCTTGGTGGTTCTAATTATTCGATACGGGATATAAGCTTTCTTAACACTATCTTTCATGAGGGACTTGGGCTCGCACGTGGGATCAACAAACAAACAACCATAACCATGCACATCAGGATTTAAATGGATAAGAGACTTAGCCCACTAGCCACCCAAGGCTCAACTTTGATACCACGTTAGAGCATCCAATCCAAAACCAATTGACAATGGGTGGAGAAGCCCCTCAAGTATATAAACCAAGTAACCAAACTTGGTGGTCCTAATTATTCAATGTGGCATACATGCTCTCTTAACAATATCAACCTCTCCCCTTTTTATTATGATGAAATCTTTTGCATTCAGAAAATCTACATAGCACCCAATCTGATTAACATAGTTATATCAATGATATTGTAGAGCTATAAACACACTACACGTAAGGAGACATTCATCTTACAATTACAAATGAAGTTATAAATTTTCCCTCTTACCTTGATGAGCCCTTCCTGAAATAGTATCTCAATCACTTCCTTCAGTATTGGAAGCAATCCAGAGTGATGCACACCTATTCCACGTTTCAAGAGGGGCAGCATATTTGAAACCTGGATAGGAATCGAAAAAGTAAACCGTCATAAAAAATATTAATGTAAATTATATGTTAAAAGAAAAGGGTTTACATGAGCCAAACAATTTGAATGTATCTATAAGAGGAGAACAATGTCAAGGCGTTTTATTTAATCAAGGTGTTATAAGTACTGGAAATCTCATCTTCCCATTCACACAAATTAAACAGAACGGTAATAACAACTTGCCTGAGGTAGCTTCTTATCATCGTCAGATAACATGTCCATAGCACTCCAAAAAATAGTTTCTATGTTCACTTTCTCTTCATCTTCATTTAGATCCATCTTTGCCATCTTAGAACCATCCAAAAGAACACAACCTTAGCTTCAATAATTAAAGACAAACCAACAATTCAAAATAAATACAAACACTATTCTTATCAACAGATAAGAAACAAAAAAAAAGAGTGGAAAAATAATATGTGAAGAACTTTGTTCGACCACAAGGAACAGAAATTGATTAAGCCATACTTGAGGTGGACCCATCAAAAGTTATGATGCCCTAGCCCACCAAAAATTATGACAAGGCTGAGTTGTTTCACTTATACAGGATAAGAATTATGCGAGGCTCCCTCAAATCACAAATTTCACACCAACTAGAAAACATACCTGCATTGCAAGAAATTCACACTCCCTTTTGCTGAAGCTAAAACATATCACCGGATCGTATTGACGCTGAATAATCATTTTCACTATCTTGAATATGTCACTTTCTTCACCAGCTTTACCAACCATCAAACCCTTCTGCCATTTTCCATTTTCCCTTTTCCTCTCACCTTCACTAGCAGGTACAAGAGCATTTAAAGCTTTCTGAAAGCTATCCTCGTGAAATTTTCCCTTTTCATCCACTGCTAAGTACAGACCATCACCTCCAGAAGGGAAGATATAATGCTGAAGGGGTGTTGGTCTATAATCAGTGTAAACGATATGACATGGTTGCCGGTGGACCTGCACTCTGGGAAATAATATTAATACCATCATATTAAGCATGCATATATTTCTTCTCCATTTATAAGAAATCAAACCAAAAGACTTGATGATGTGAACAAATTTTAAAGTATATACAATTTGAAATAAGCTTCCTCAACTAAGAAACTCCACTCCTCTTGATTTTTCGGTATATACACTTTGTCAGTTATTATACAATTCGTTTATGTTGTCTATTTCCTCCTTTCCACAAGCTATCTCTTTATCGTCCACTTCTCTTTTTACAAAAGGATCTATCTTCCTCCCATAGTTTTTCCTCAAAAATCTAATATTTCATAAAAAAAAAAAAAAAAAAACAAACAAACAAACAAGGGCAACTGGAATCAACCACCACCTATAATTTCTTTTGATGAATATTATGCATTCTAAGCCCCGAAATCATTACTCAGTGACTTGATAATCACTGTACAGATAAAGTTCCTTCTTACAATTAATAGAAGCAAAGTATATCAATTTACTAATTGTTTTTTCTTTGGATTGAGCGGAAGAGGGTTTGGCTGTTGAAGAATGAACCACTAATTGATCCCAATATGTAAACTATCAAGGAAAAAAATAATATGAAACCCTACTCTTCAAATAGCATGTTCCACTTAATTAATCTTGGGAACAATCCTCGATCCTCGTAAACACTACAGAAAGTGACAAGCCTCACTCACACTCTAATTGAACCTCAACAGCATTCTGATGATCGGAAAAGGCATAACGAAAACTAAGCAACTTGAAAGCACCTTCGCAACCCAATCAGCAAATTCCTTTGCATTGGGCACTGTAGCAGATAGGAATACAAATCGAGAATTCTTTGGGGCCATGACAATGCTCTCTTCCCATACCACCCCTCTTTCCCTATCACGCATGTAATGTACCTCATCAAAAATAATCCAAGCTACCTCACGAGTAACCTCGGATCCTTTGTACTGCATACTACGCCAGATTTCTGTAGTCATTACCTGAAATAAATTTGCAACTCAGCAACTCAAGAATTAAGGCACTCTAAAGCTTACTAGCAAAAACAAACATTACATTAACTATCAGACCTACCAAACAAGAAGCATTGGGATCAATTGTTACATCTCCGGTCATCAAACCGACATCTGAGAACTCTTCTTTAAACTCTCTGTACTTTTGATTGCTGAGTGCCTTGATAGGTGAAGTGTATATAACACGTTGCTTGTTCCGCAACGACATAGCAATTGCATATAAAGCCACAACAGTTTTCCCTGCTGATGTATGAGCCGATACCTATCCATATGTGAAATATTTTCCATCAAAAAAATTTCATTTTAGGCCGAGTGGTGTACTCCGTATTATAGTTATATTCAAAAGGTATCATAGAACATTTTTTTTATTTCTATGGGGTAAGCAGGAAAATTCAACAAAATATGTGCCAAAACCTGGATTTCAACCTGTATTATAGCGAGGTGTACAGAACTACAATCTACACCATACAACATAATTCCCCCAAAAATCAACAAACAATGACCTCTGAATGCATTCTATAATTCACAATACAAAAAAAAGGGGACAAAAGCTATTTTGTATAAGAATTTTACCATGACGGATTCACCACTGTCGAGGCATTTGATTGCTTCGGACTGAAAAGGGTCGAGAGTGAATGGAAATTCCTTTGCGGGTTTCGAGTCTTCTTGAGCTGAAAAGGAACTTGAAGGACGAGGAATGTGGCCTTCAGGGTATGATACATCGTGAACGCAAGCTACCACCTCATCCGCGCCGCCGAATAAAACATTCTCTTTCTGTTGTTTAGCTGGAGGCGTAAACTCCGTAGATGTGTCTTCCAGTGATTTCCTCTTCATTGATCCCATGATTACCTCAACTGTATTAAAAACACTAACAACATCATACCCCAACAACAACAAACAAAGTTCAGATAAACAGCAAAAATCAAGATGCACCTTTAAACAACCCTTGCACTCTCTCTCTCTCTCTCTCTCTCTCTCTCTCTCTCTCTCTCTCTCTCTCTCTCTCTCTCTCTCACACACACACACACACATGTATAATTATGTACGAATGGCTTCGTGTTTGAGCACATACATGTAGTTCAGGTTTCTGAGAACTCATTCACAAGTAAAGTGTTCTACAAAACCCATGTTTTGTGCAGAGAGGGCAACTTTCCTAGGGTTTTTACAACAGGGTGTTTCTACAGCAGCATGAAAGAATTGATTACCTCTCGTCGGTGACAATTGGCGGCGGACGGCCTAGCTTTTCCGCACTCTGCTACAGAGAGAAGAGAGAGATTCAATTCCGGGAATTTAGAGAAAGGAAAATTACAACTAGAATACGACGGCGTTTTTTATTCAGGTCACTACGAGAAATAGACCAACCTAAGTGGCACTGGCCGAACCAGATGTTTTTAGCCAAAGGCCGTGTGGGCTACTCTTGTCAGGTTTGATCAGTCAAGGGCAGGGCCTGCAGAAAAACTCAGGCCCACGTCTTATCCAACGGGCTGACCTTAAGGAGCCTTACATTTTTAAATTTACTTTAAAATTAAATACTAATTTTTAAAAAAATTATATAATTCAGAATAAAAGTACTGACATTGAAATAAAGGATAAATAAGTTTTTCCAGACCCTGACTCTATTAGAGTCGGTGATTAGGATTTGATCAAAAAAAAAGGGATAAATGAAAAACAATGTGAGTGTGCCCATGTAGACGAAAAATTGAAAAATTTATGAATTATGACTATATTTTATAACTAGTCAGTATCCGTGTCTGAAGATACTATACAATAAACAAAAAAATCTTAAATAATTGTTCAAATTCAAAAGGAATGATCTAAAAATATTCATACAAATTCTTTTTTTCAAAATGACTCGAAATATATTGTCGACCATATCTTTCATATTAATGAAACTGTCATAAAAATATATAAAAACTCTCTAAAAAATAACACTATATATATATATATATATATATAAATGCCTCTGAAAAAAAATACTAATTTAACTCATTGAATTTACAATTTTTAAGCAATAAATAAATTTTTACTCATTTATAAAACTCACAAATTTGTTATATCTACTATCACTCAATCCAATAACACAACATAATTAAAAACTCAACCGCCATATTTCCAATCTACCATATTCCTATCTAATAAATAAATACAAAACAAAAAAACTAACAAAACACAATTAAATTAACAATCTTTAAACGATAAATAAAATCATCAAAATCTTACTCATTAGCAAAATCTTACTCATTTATAATATTCATGAATTTATCACCATTATATCATTCAACCCCGAATGACACAATATAATTATAAATTTAATCATTAAATGTCTAATCTTCTACATATAAATATAAACAGAAATAAACCCCTCACATTTCTTTTTTGGTTATTAATAAACCCTCCTAACCAATAATTATTTTATTAGAAATGTAATAATTCAAGTTTTAAATGTAAAATAATATTTAATTAAAAAACAGGGTAATAATATTGGACATCCCTTGAGTTTTGGCAATATTACACAGACACTTTCAGACATTTTAAAAATAACATGGAGACACCCTAAAATTTGAAATTCAATGTATAGAGATCCCCTATGTCTCCCTTTCAATCAATATTGCAAACGAAAATTGATAATTTTATTTTAAAATTTTTTATTATTTTTACAATTGTCCTTCTCTAAATTTAGTACCAAAAAAATAAAAAATTTAATAAAATCAAATAAAATTTGATTTAGTACCCAACAAATTGATTAAATGAATTTCAATATTAATTCGATAAAGGTGAATATAACTTGGACAAATTAAATATCAATTTTTGGTAAAATTATGTATTAATTTACAATCTTAGGTTCATTTCATGTTGAATATTATTTGATTTTTATAGTCAATGTGCTATTTTTTATTTACATTAAATATTATTTACAAATTAAAAAGTAAGTGGGAAATATATTTTGTCAGATATATAAAAATTTTGAATTAGTTTCATGAAATAAATAATTGTATAACATGTAATTTTATTTTTATGGAGTAAATAATAACAAAAACAATACAGGGCAAACAAAAAAAAATAGTTTGAGAGAGAGAGAGAGAGAGTTATATAAATATATGAGTCTTAGAGTTATAAAATGAATAAAAGTTCAATTATAACCATCATATCAAAATGATTTGAACCGCAAAAAATTCAAGACAAACATTTTAGTTAGTTTATTATATATATTTTTTTGGATGCCAATTTTGTAGACAAGGTAAACTCTTAATGGGCTTTGAGCAATCTATCCAATAGAGTCTTACAATTTGACCCCAACGTCTAATTAACGGGCAACACGTACGTAAACTCTTAATGGGCATTAAGCAATCTACCCAATAGAGTCACTTCGTGTTACAAATTGACCCCAACGTGTAATTAATGGGCAACACGTAGGCCAAAACACGACAAGTTGGCCAGCCCATTAGCCCCGGCTGCCCGTGGAGCTAGGGCTAAATGTTAATCACTAGACCAAACTAGAAATTAACATTTCTGTTTAAATCTTTTGACTCTCTTTATTCTTTTGTATTGCTCAAGACACTTGACCCCCACATCATGCACCTTTCAGGGGTGTAAGTCCTTAAACAGGTCGCAGAAATCTTGGCTCTAATGTGATTCGAACCTGAACCTACCAAATTAAAATCATGAAAGCTTTGTTGAATCAAAATGGTTCAGAGATCGACTCAAATTTTAGGTGGTACATGCTTCTGGCTTAGTTTCAGTTTAAGATCATTATTCAACAAACTTGAGCATCTAAACTTATTAGAGCAACTCTAAAGGGAGTTGTCATCAAGAGTGACATCTCCATAACCGCTAAAATAACATCCCAATTGTAAAAATTGGGACTTCAACGGAAAATGGCATAAGAGGTGACAAAATGACATCTAGAATTTTGGGGTGACATATTTGACAAATTTTGAGAGAGAATAAAGAGGGTTGCAAAATAACCATTGGTGGCCACTGTTCCTCTCAACGGTTATATTCCACCCAAAATTTTTATAAAAATACAGAGAGAGGAAAGGGAAAAAAGACTTGCCTGAAATAGATTTGTGTACTGCTCCCAAAAAATAGCTCCCTGAATCCTTGTCTTTGATATCGAAAACTCTAGCTTCCCTGACCCTTGTCGTTGGTGTGCTCGCATAGCCCTGTTGCCGTTGTCTGGTCTGGTAAGGAAAAGGGGAGGAAGGGGAAGGGGACAAAGACGTCTGGTCTGGTAAGGGGAAGGGGAAGAAGACGACTGATTAAGGGGAAGGGGTAGGAACCGTTTTATTTAGGGGAAAGGGGAGGAATTGTAATTTATAATTACATATGCCCCTTATTTTTGTTTTAATTTATAAGTTCTAGTTTTAATTTATAATTTATAATTACATCCGTCCTTCTGTTCTTGTTTTAATTTATAATTTATAATTACATTTGCCTCCACGTTCTTGTTTTAATTTATAATTTATAATTACATCTACTATTGTTATTATTTTAATTTATAAGTTATAATTACATCTGTCCTCTGTTCTTGTTTTAATTTATAATTTATAATTATATCTGTCCTTGTTCTTATTTTAATATATAAATTCTTGTTTTAATTTATAATTTCTTGTTTTAATTACATCATTATTTATTATGTTGCTATTATTTTTAAATTTGTAGTTATTATTTATTATATTGTTATTATTTTATAATTTTTAGTCATGATATATTATGTAGTTATTATTTATGAAAAACTATGTATTGAAAATACAACTTGAAATTGAAATTGGAATTAAAAGTACAACTTGAAAATGAAATATTAAAATGACACCCTATTTTGACACCTACCATTTAATCAGAAACACTGTTCAGGGGTGTCAAAATACTGTTTAAGGTTACACAATGACATTTGACACCCCATTTTTGACAACAACTTTCCTTGGAGTTGTTCTTATCGACTCGAACCGGGCCTAGCCCAATACCACAGAAACCTTTTACCAGGTTCCGAACCTGGGTTCGAGTTTCATTCTCTTTCCCAAGTACCATAATGATGCAATGTTTTTCATATCAGTTTGAAATGAAGAAAAATAAAACCCATCACCAATGCGAAAAATAAATTAACAAAGATTAATTCTAAGAAACTAAATACTTTACAGTGAACTGATACGTATAAAACTATATTCTCAGTCATCCTCCAGCTCAAGTATCAACGAAAGTAAGTAGCTCATCGTCACCTCCAACATTCAGCAGCAGTTCATCAACACGGTATTGAAACCCAGAATGTTAGTTTCAAGTTAATCCTGCAGTCGGAACCTTCTGGAGAAAAGTCTTTGAATGCCACGGACGCATCCTCAAGAACCGTCTCTTTTTGTGATGCCTTTTGTAGTTTTTCCCGATACCATTGGCATTCTCTCCATATTTTCCGTACTGTCAGCAGTATCCATCTCAAATCTATCAAGTGTGTTTCCACGGTTTGACCAGCTACGATCTCTCAAGTACTCGTCTGAATCCTTGTCATAAGCATTAATTTTCACACTCTTATCATTTATCATTAGCACAACCAGATTTGTGTTCTCTGTCTTTGGTGCTTTTCAGGAAAAAACTAATCAGGTTCCCAGCGACCAGTTCCATCATCAAGGTAGTATTCAGAATCATATGATTTACTTCTGCCTTCAAATCGATCTGGACTGTCATAGTAAACCCTCTCATCCTTTTTAAATTTCCGCTTGGATTTTTTGTGCTTATCAGGAAACTCTTTCTCAGATTCCTGATGACCCCTTTTGTCAGCCTTCTTGTTGGAGCCGTACCTTGATTCAAGATCATGAGATTTAATTCTTCGATCGTATCGACTGGAGTTGGTATTCTCAAGATTCTCACCTGATTTCAGACGCTCGTCAGGAAAGTCAGCTTCACTAGTCTCTCTACCCAAACAATCCCTTCGGCTGGAGTGGCTATGTTCTTGGACTTTTTGAAGTTTGAATTTTGCCAGGTCAGACTCCCTCTGGTGAACTTTATTGTTGAAAATCTTTTTTAATCCCCCCTGATCATCTGACAATACTGAAATTTCATTTGAGTTCCTTAAGCATTCCCTTGAGTGACGATCGTGTTCATCTCTGTCCGCATCTAACCCACCGTCGCTGGAATCACTATCATGGTCTCTGCTCCAGCTGTCCCAATAATCATCTGGAGATACAGACACTTGGTTCCAATATCTCGAGCTTTGCCTTCTGAGCCTGCCTCTATCTTTGTCTTCACTCAATCTATCTCCACTGTAATCAGTACCACGAATTGTGTTCTTGCTGTCATCAAAATCATCCAGGATTTCAGACACTTTCCTTCGGCGTTCTGAGCTTTTCTTAGTGCGACCATGGTATCTATCCTTTCCCGTCTCCCTATCTGACATATCTCCATCAGAATCAGTTGCACTAGCTTTACTTTTTCTGTCCCGGTCATCCCGCAATTCCGACACATTTATCTGGTGTCTTGAACTTTTCCTTTTCCTATCATGTTTTCTGTTTTTATCTTTATCCCTGTTCGACCAATCTAAATCAGAATCAATATCATGAGTTCTGTTCTTATGCCGGTAATTTCTAGAACTTGTTTCCTCTGTACCAATTTTTTCATCAAGAACTTTTGATTGTCTTCTAGCATCACTGTTGTGCCTTTGTCGATGCACTCTCCTATGAAGATCATGCTCTTCATAGTGTTCTCTTGAACTTCCACTCAAACATTCCCTCTCCCTTGATCGAGATCTTCTAGAGTGGTGCCTGTGAAAATCAAGAACATCATTAAAAGATGACAAGAAGCCAGCTGAAATGTGTAAACAAGAAACACAAGAATTCTTCCTCCTTGGACAACGAATTCTTCCCCTCTAACAAGACAGGCTTCCATGAAGTAAATAATGAGTCCCTTCTAATAGATTATTATAAATGTGCCCACTTAAAAGTGAACAAATGTCATATATACCACTAGAAGGCAGACCGTGCCTTCTGCCTTTTTAACCTTACTAAGGCACAGAACTAAAAGATGGGGGTACTACAGGAAAGGCGGTAAATTCTTCACAAAAAAACACACATCAACAGTAAATGCAATGAAACAAGAGAACGCCAAGTAGATCACCATGAAAAAAATTCATAAAACAAGTTCAACAATCCTTGCATGAGGGTACTAAAAATTAGGGACACACCCTGACATTCTAAAAATGACAATTTCAATCGGCTCAAATTTGGCCATCATTAACTGAGCTGACAAAATGATTAATTTGACCTCACTTCATTTAAAAAAGTTCAGTTATAAAAAATATACCTCCATAACCTAACCCTCTCCCTCTCCCCCCCCCCTCCCTTTCTTCCTTTGCAGACCCACATCCCCCCGGCATAGCCCCACCATGCAAGCAACATATGGCAATGCACAACTTCAGAGCTGCATATAGGCTCTGATTGTAATTCGATCATGAACTGATCTCCTCCTTCAAACCCCCACCCCCCCCCCCCCCCCCGCCGGCTCTCTCTCCCTATATATATACACACCAGTAGGACCAGGGACTTGGGGACTGCAAGGTATGTGTGGCGGCAGCTGTCTTTGTGATGTTTTTGTAGTGTAAGATCATTCAATAAGTTATCATTAATGTCAAATGTTTAGTCCTATTTATTTTTAATATAATTGTGAAAATTATTTTTTGTAAAATTAATCAAATGCAAAAAACAAATAACATCATTAAAAATCAATAATTTAAACTCAATTTTCATCATAAATCACTCAAGGAGAACAAAATTTCATCATGTCTCCACAGAGTATGCAAAAACGAACAAATCTCAAATATATATTCTATATAACTGTATGCCCTAAACCTATAGTGTTTGGGATATTTTGTACGAACTATTAAATTTGGTTATGCACACATGTGCACATCATTAAATTTAAAATAAAATTTGTCTATTAAGGACCATTAGGTTGATCAATTGGATTAAAATTTTGAAATGCCCATAACAACTGATTGCCCCTTATCCCTATATATGTCTAAGGGCTAAAACCCTAATCGACCCTCAATTTTCTCTGGAAACAAGAAGTCGCTGCATCGCCTGGTATGTTCTCTTCTTCTTCTTCATCTTTTGTGAGTCATCCATTCAACTCTGAATTTGCTTCTAGATTTGCATGATGTTGTTGCTTCTTCTTCTCTCTTCTTGATTTGCTGCTGCTTCTATCCTCCAGATTTGTTGTTGCCTCTCTTCTACTTCTTCTCCTCTTTTTCTTCTTTTGTGATGGTCCTACTGGAACTCTGCGTTTTTTTTTTTAGGCTGGAACTTTGTTTTTCTATTTTTTTGCTGAAATTCTATTTTTCTTGCAAGAGCTTTGGTTTTTTTTTTTTCTAAAACTCTATTTTTTTTGCTGGAACTTCTATGTATCTGTCTTTATTCTACTATTCATTATATTTTAACCTAAGTTTATATTCATTAATTTTCTTGTTTTGTGTGTTTTGAGCTATTATTAGTGTTTATTTGAATTTAATTGTTTATGGTTTTGGTTGCATTAGAATATTTAGTATTTGTGAAGATAGAACATGAATATTTAGAAATAATTAAACTAAAATATTTGCCTTTTTTTTTATACTGTTCACTTCCCTTTGATGAAGTGCTCGCTTCGCACCTCTTGCAGCCTTGCTTCTCACCTAGGCCTCAGGAGTCTAGTTCACTTACGCATTAAATAGCACTGATGTGGACCTAAAAGTACATAATAACCAAGAGAGCATTGTGGATTTTCACTTATAAAACCAGTTTATTCAAAAACGTGGACAGAAAATGACGCCATAGTTTTGTAGTTTCTTACATTTCAAATGGCCGTGAAAGAATACCAACAACTCAAACCAGATGAAAAGTAGGCAGTATCCACAAGCAGTTTAACTGTAACACGTTTAGAGCAGAGGGCTAGAATCAAACCACTAAAAGCACTAATATAACGATCATGAACTATAAGCTGACCTTTCTGTGTCAGTTGTTAATATCTTTCGGGTGTTCCACAGCTGTTCCGAACTTTCACGCTCCATCTGTTTCTCATACCCAGATTCATTGGAATGACCAAATAAAGCAGCCATCCTTTTGAGCCAGTATCTTGGAGGCGGTTTATCCAAATCAGCCCATTCATAATCTCCACCAGGGTTGCGGAAACAGTGGATAAAATTGCATGCAGTTCCACGAGAACATGCCTAGCAAGAACGATGCAACAGGTAAGGGATAAGGACGGCAACAGGTAATGGATAAGGACGTCAACAGGTCAAAGTAAAACTCAAAAGATTAGCATCAACATGAGAACTGCCAGAAGGTCTTTATAACTCAAAAAGTCTTAAAAAACAATTTCAGATATCTCAATTCCATTTAAGAAGCAAAAATTAAATAACCAAAAAGAAAATAAGTTTCACATGTACCTTAAACCTCAATTTCATATACTCCCCACATATGGCAATCTTCCATCTCGTCACACTGACAAACTCACATGTTACCTATAAACAATTTGCCAAGTTATCAAAATACCATCAAGAAGCAGTGTTGCAAAAGGACAGAAGATACTTCCATCCCATGAGAGGGATGACTTACTACAATCAAGAGTAATAACTGTGTGATGTATGTAATACCAAGGTAGTCAACCCCTTTTGGTTCATCCCACGATAAATAATATTATCTATCTTATTTGCATGAGATTTCTTTCTATAAAAACTCCATGATTTTAGACAACAATATGAGTCATCCAGGGTTATAGTCTCTATCTTTAGAAGCTAGTTCAAGCATGCAGGCAAATTTCCTCATAAAAATTAGGCCAAGTAAACCTTGGATTTATATTATAGCCCAAATCAAAACCATTGAAGTAGAAATAGATGGAAAGCAAGACACAAAACAAAAAAGACAGCCAATCTTTTCATGGAGGGTTGTACTTTTGTGGTTAGCATGGATAACAAGTCAAAATCACTGAGATTGGGTAATAATTAACATTCTAGTTCTAAGATATGGAGTGGCGAATCTCCCACTAAAAGTTTCACACAATGTATATAGCTGGTAATAATTAAGTCTACATAGCTGCAAAAGTAATTTCAATGAAAATATACCTGTTTACCAGCAAAATAACGACCATTTATGGACTGATAAGCAAGCGCGGCTGAATCCAATGATTTATAGTGAACATAGACATTCCCCCGCAAATGGGATGAACCATTTCTGCATACCTGAACAAAAATAAAAAAGAAACTTGCTATTCTTCAACAATGCAAGTACACAAAACCACAGACTACTATTTCATTCTCAATATACTAGCAAGTCTTATTCACAACAATTCAATTCCAGAAATGTTAAATTGCATATATAATAGTTTAACAAAGAAAGATGCAGAATAATTTGTAGACATAATATGAACACAACATCCAACTTTTTTGTTATATCTCTCTCCCTTGAGACTCGATACAGCTGCGATGCATCAGACCATCTGTCTAGGTGACCCCTCAACTTCTTAACATGTGGACAAACATTAAATGATTCTGCATGCAAAAAGACAATGCTAAGTACGTGACACGATAACACCTCCTGCTGTCGGCATCTGAGCGGTATGAAGAAGGAACATTTCCATCAAACTTTAGGTCAAATCCATTTTTGGATCATTCTTTTTACAAACAATCAAGCAACAAAAATATAATTCATAGTTATAAACCGGATAAGTTCCCCAATTTACAAAAAAAAAAAATCATCAAGTTACTCAGGTTTCCTACACTACACATCCAAATTCGGGTTCCAAGATAAGTGGTCAATCATTCTACAAAATAAACAAGAAATATATAGCTGTCAGCCACCTTGAAATTTACAATTTCACCAAACTTCAGGAATTCTGTATGCACGTCCTCATAAAACTCTTCATAACAGCGTTCGACCTCCTCATCCATATACTGAAAAGCCAACAACATTTATCAGCAGGAGTTCTCCCATACCCCGAGATAGTGATGTTGCCCAAATAACTAGCAGTTGTTAAGGATCTAAATTTCACAGAAGCAACAAAGTGACATCAGTAACCAGCAACAAGAAAATGACAATAAATCTGACACAAGCAGATCCAAATCTCCATTAGTTGAAATTAGAGATTAGTGATAGTACCAAGTAGCGAATCTATATATCTGTCTTCCACAACAATGGTTAGGTGTGATCATTTCGGTAGAGATTACATAGTGTTTGTAGAAAAGTAATGAATAACAGCTGCTATGTATTGAAGTCAGAATCACAGAAAAAGAGAAATCCAAAAATAACCAGGCTCAAGTTTCATCTTGTAGGATACAGGACTGCAGATATCTTTTACCTCCAACACAACAGAGGCTACAACCATGAACCTCCATTGATTTGAATCTTGAGAAGAATCTCTGATTTAAAAGGTCAAAGAACAGCAATAACAATTCTATAACAAATAAAACAAGCCAAATCGTGGTTAATAAACAAAAATTACATCGAACCAACTAGTAAGTGAATGATAAAGATGAACAAGTTGAAAATAGTTATTTCACGTATTCAGAACATAAACAGTTGGAAGTCTACTAATAGACCTAAGAGAAAAGCATCGTATGAAACACTAGGATGCACTCTTCATAAGTTAGTATGGGTTACAATGTAGTTTGCTTTGATCCTCAGTTCAGGAAATATATGACCTCTTGGCAAAAGAAGCAAATCAAGTACTGTACTTGTTTGGAACCTTGTTTCAAAAAGTAGAAATTATTGGTCCAATTAAATATTTATAGGACTTCATGAATTTTTTCGTGCAAAGTAAGACTTGGTGCTAATTTTCCTGATCTTTTTATCTAGAAAAAGTGCCTTTTGTACAAGATAGTTTCAGTAAGTCAATGATGAAGAGCTAAAATTCACCCAAGTGACCATCAGGATACTAGAATCACATGAAGACTTCATTAACAGACCTCAAGACCCTCATCCTGCTCCCAAGCAAGGCCAGGTCCACTGTACATGTTCTTGATCAGCAATGTGCATGATTTATCAGGGTAAAAATGAACTCGGCTACAACGTGAGCCGAAGCGGCAAGCCCCTGTTTTGAGGTGGAAAGGACAATGGGCCTTATCCTGCCATAAAAACTTATAGATCAGATATGATGATGAGATGATCCTCCACAAAGGAAATAAAAACACTTGTCCAATCCAGGGATGAAATGATTAATACTGAATAGATTAACATGCCTTGAGAGAGATAGTGAGGACAATAGAACATGAAAGGAGTACCTGTTCAGTACCAAAGTTTGGAACTTGTTGAGCAACATTCTCCAGCAGCTGTTGCGCCGAAAACATATTCTTGTAATCAGAAAAGGCTTCAGATTGTGGAGGAAGAGGATTCGATGTAGGTCTATTAGGATCCTGCAAAGTAGAAGGCAACACTTTTATTTCAAATGTTTGGTACAATGAGAAGATCATAGCAAACAGTCTATGATAATTTACAGAATAAATGGTAAAGGACGTAGCAAGCTCGCAATACCTCTGTTTTGGCCTGCAGGTCTGCATCTTTCTTTTTCACCCGAACTTTTTTCTTCTTGACAATTATCTCGTTTCCTTGCCAAATAATTTCAGGAGGCCCTTCTTCTATATATTCCCATTCATCATCTTCATTTCCCTCATTTTCGTGCGCAACCTGCAAGATATATTATAATTCATTTTTTAACTTAAATTATTCAACACAGGAACATGTCTTCATTTGATCTTTAGATACCCAGAAAAATACAAGATACACCGCATAAAAGCTGCCAAATGCCAAATAACCATTAGATATCTAACCCATAGTCTTCGGAAACCAAACACCATATGATATCTCAAGTATGTAAGCAATGAACTGTCAAACATAGATACCCATTTATCTACTGTTCTCATTCACTGAAATGCTAAACTCTAAGTATGGTTAAGAGTCAGTAAATTGAAGATTTTCAAGCATATACCCACAATGCAGTCCAAAGGGAAGTACAATTTACAATATGAATTGAGGTGACCGGTGTGATAATTTTATAACCAGCGGGCAACACACTCAGAAATTCATAAACAGGGCTCTGCGTAAAGCATGCGCGTTATTTACATAACTGTGCAGTGCCAATATGAAGGTTGTGTGTGTGTGTGTGTGTGTGATCATATAGACAGAAAAGAAGGAGGACCTGAATTTTTTTCGATTCTTCTTCTTCAAGAGCTCTCCTCCGTTCCTCTTCTTCCTCTTCAGCTTTCTTTCTCGCAAAAGCTTCGAGAAACAACCTCTCTCTCTCCTCAAACTCTCTTCTTTCTCTCTCCATCCTCTCGTTTTCTCTCTCTTCGGCAAGCTGAATCCTCCGCTGCTCCTCGGCGTCGTTGATCCGAGCCTCCTCCTCTTCCCGCGCCTTCTCCGCCAGTTCCTTCCTCTTCTGCTTCCTCTTCTCCTTCTTCAACGCCTTCCTCTTTTCCTTCCGGTTCATCATCATCGGACCTCCTCCAGGAGCCAGTGAGCTCGTCTCGCCCTCTTGCACGCATTTCGAGGTTTCTACTTTTCTTCTTCTTCTTCGATCTCGATTGGTTCGGCCATTACGTTAGGGGTTTGGATTTGGGGATCAAATTGTGGAAAACCTCAACTAGGGTTTTGAATTTTGATGTAATGAACTGTTTTTGGATTTAGAAAATTCGAATCATTCAGAACAACAAAAACTAGTAATTAGTACGCGATCACGTTTTAACCTACGCGTTTAACAAATAATTTAGTTTGACAAATAATTTAAAAATTATCATCTATAACCTATATGTATAATACTAATTAATGTCCATAACTGAAGAGCACTATATAACAAACAAAAAATCACTTTAAAAATAAATTAATTTAAACCATAATAAACAAACTAAAATAGAAAAATATATAATCTTAGTGCGAATGATTTCAATTTCATCCTTCAAGTTCTAATTTGCCAACTTAGTATAAATTTGTGTTTAATTAATCTAATTTTCATCGCCGACTAAATTGATAAAAAATTTGAGGAAAAATTACTAAAATATCTGGGAATAAAATCATAGTTGAGTGAGTCAAAGACCCACCAACTCGTCTACCTCCCTTTACTCCATCCTATCGATTCAGCCATACCTTTCGATGTATTGGCCAGCGATCTCCTCTTGAAATCAGCTAAGTTGCAACTGTAAAAAAAAAGGAAAAGAAAGAAATATGCAAAGGTTATGCCAATTACTGAAAAATCCTAGAAAAATTTGTGTTGGTACCCAATTGTCATATATTTGTGTGATTCTTCCTCGATTGTAGTTAAAATAACCCTTGATTTTTGCCATTCAAAGTGTATGCATGAGTTGGAATAAAGAAAACAGTTTAAATTTCAAATACTCATTGACTCAGGTCTAAAAAGCCGACTAATGTCTTCCAAGTTTATGAGCACAATCCGGCAGTAACCATAACAACCTCCTCTAATTCGGGCAAATCTTTTGTTAAACTAAATGTCATGCGAGCAAGGGAAAAGTATTAATGAACAAATTTGAAATCTAGGGTGGACTTGGAGCCTTACCCTTGTACATAATTTATACAATAGTTCAAAACATTTGTAAAGTGGAGAACCCTGATTTGTAGGATAAGGATCACTTTCTGAATCCTTTATCCATAGCAAAGTAGACCTCCTCCATTAATTGAATTCCAAGAATCCCGCCCAATTGAAAGGAATATAATCACCAGTTAAAGCAGCTAGATGTAGAGGGGTTGCAGATTGCGAATAAGAAGGCTGTAAGCCTTGAAATCCAATGTCAAAAATTTCGCCACTACACCTAATGTAGAAATCCTTTCCAATATTGACACAAAAAATGTCCTGCAAAACAGGCTACTTTCTTAGCTGCCATAAAGTTGAGATTATGCACAGAAGTTAAGATCTCTTTTATCATCTGTAATTAATATCAAAAAAATCTGAAAGCATAAACATCAAAAACTCAAAATCTTACTCACATGCTCATTTCCAATCACAGAAGTTCACTGTAAGACAAAATTGCATAGAAATTTCTAATGTCATATTAATGGAGTTTAGAATTGCAGAAAAATGTGTATGTTAAGAAAAGGATACCCAGGTTGAAGAAGCAAATGATATCCATGGTGCTAATTCAGTAATGTTTCACCTGAGCAAACATCGCAAATAAAAACTAAAAAATATGAATCTAAATCCCAGTAAACATAAGGGTTTGAAATCAGATCAACATCCCACATTCCAGAAAGATAAATCATACCTTGTTCTTTATGTTTCTATCAATATAAAGGTAATTTTAGTTAGTCCTTCATTGAGACCATCATTTTATAGCCCATTAAGTTTGGCGACCAAGTACCACTACGCAAGTTCATTTGCTCAACAAAATATACATCTTGCAAACTGAAAAGCAATAATACAATGTCAATTAATTAAAGCAACACAAAAGCATCAAATTTAACTGCGAAAAATATTCAAGAACAATAGCAAAACCTTATAAACCAACACAACACCTGAATACTTCTTTTAGTCAAAACAAAGAAAAGGAAATCCTATGACTATGCTATAATGTTTTCACCATTGCTCAAAATGAGGCAGCAAGTCAATCAAACTCAGCTGTCATTTCAACTACATCATGAATAAACAAAAGTACTATACATCTTCAAAATATTTCAACATGTGGGTGCGTATACAGGTTCACAATAGCATTATTCTGACTAAATTTATAAAACAATAGCCTTATTCTGGTAAAAAAGTCACTACTCCAAATACAACCACACAAACAACAAAGTTAAACTATTGCAAGAGTCTGGCATAGGCAATAAGACAACACTTGGTAGTCATAGAAGAAAACCATCAGTAGTTGCACTTAGCTAAATGCAAATCAAGTTATTTTACCTTTAACGTGATAATATACTCTTTCTCTATTTCTACAAAGAATGATATGTGTTTCTCAAGTTCCTCTTCCAGCAACCTGATGAACTCAATTTCTTCTTCCGTCATATCTACCTCAACGTCATGATAGAAACTCAATCATGAAGTCCAAAATATAAATCCTGAGACCATAGGACACAACGTAGAACACTTGTACAATTTAGACCTGCAGTAAGTAAATCAAAGCCACTGTCAATGTTGCGAGCCACCTATGCAACGTCATTTACTGCAATCCTAGAATGGAATTTAAATAGCTTCCTCTTAGTTTTAACCATGAAAGTTTAATACCAAAACAAATTAAAAATTTTGAGGGACAATAAAGATTGAGCACCTGCAAGGCTTGCAGTTTGCCAGACTAAATTAATCTATCTATCTATCCCCTCTCGGGTCTCACGATTTTGCGATGAAATTGCAGTAAACTTGATGAATTTGCGCCAAAGGAAGAGAATCCCATGACTGCCATAAGAATAATTGAAAAAATCAAACAAAACACATCAAAAGAGAAACATAAATTCAAATCAATCAATAGAAAAAATGACCCGTGAAAGAGAAAAAGGCCAAATGAAAAATGTAACAAATAGATTGCATAATTAGAATATTGTACCTTAAGTCGATGAAGCGGGCTTTGTTTCAAAACACGTTGTTGTGTGTGTGTCATGAACAGAGAGAATAGAGAAAGCACTGTCGTTAGGTGGCGTCACCGATTGCCATGGAGAAAGGTTGCTGACAATAGCGTTTAGGGAAGAGGGAGAAGATGAGGCAGCGCCAGTAAGATAAGAGAAGAGGGGAGGATAAGAGAGATGGGGAAGATAGAGTCGTGTGTGAGAGTGGGGTTAGAGAGATGACAGTGAGAGAGGCGAGAGTTTAGGTAGAGATTGGGGAAGAAAAGAGAAAGTGTGTGAGAGAGATCGTCTGTTTGGGGAGAGTGAGGCATGGATTTGGATATTTTTTGGGCGTTATCGGTGGCGTTGAATGGGATGGAAAGTTACGTTGGCGGGAAAACAAAATTTATCGGTCAATTTGATCCGTTGGATCAATATATATGAGATAATTTGAACCATTTTTTATGTTGGGATTATGTTGTTCATTAGATGTGTTTATGTTTTATCTCACAACGATCTAGGCCTCACTTTGTCTCTAGAATTCAAATTTCGTTCTACTTTATTATATAAATAAAACAATATAAGTTTCAATAAACAAATCTGACGCTCCCAAATAAACTCATCTAACGGTCACCAACATCTCTCTCAAAATCATTCACATTATATTTTTGCTCCATTCAAATCCATCACTTCTCACTTGCGTTGTACCGTATTTTCAAGCACGAGTTATCCCTAATATTTTAATAAATAAATTATAAAAATATCATACATTGATAATTGATTATTAAAATTCTTTCTTTATACATATTTATCCACTAGTCCACTTTACCATTTTAATATTTTAAAATTGATGGTATTCTTAACATGATTGAGCAATGAAGTGAATATAAAGTGTACTAAACAGTTGGATTTAGCTCAGTCTGAGCTCCAAGGCTCTTGAGAATAATGTGACAACTTTAGGGGAATGAGGTAGATTGTACAGATGAGTTATAGTGATTCACCAGTTCGGGGGTTCGGCTAATCCATTCTTCAAGAGAGTCTCTTACTCTTAAGAATTATATTGAAGATGAAGAACGGATTACACAGTCTTCTTCATATTATATGGATTGCTCCCCCAAAGTGAGGACTTTGTACAATATTTATACCTTAGTTCCTAGTTCCACGGGTTCTGGGGGCGAGATCTTTGCCTCCCTCTTGTAACACTTCGCTTGATTTCAGGCGATCGTTTAGACGGTTGAGGTTCTTGTGTCTAGACTGGTGTTTATTGGCGTTGAAGGGGCGTTTAGTGGTTGTCAACCGTCTTCCACTCATTTTCTTTGAGGAGCAGGTTGAGGGAGCCCAAGATTTGGAACTCCGAGCTCGGGCTTTCTTGGCTGAACTCCCTTCCTGACTTCAATACCTGAACTCAGACTTGAAACTTTTCTAGATATCATAAAAAATGAATATATATTCTCAATAAATAGTGAATAATAATTAATCAGATCATGTTATAATTAAATTATGTCTTTTTATTTTTATGTCGTTTTGTATTGATGAATGTAACTTCCATTTTTCTTTCCTTATTATTTTATACCCCAAACAAAAAAAAATTTTCACCCCATTTTTCTCTCCTAATTCTTATTTCACCAACTTTTCCATCACATCAAAGTATCTTTTAGTAACTTGGGAGGAAATGGGTCTTAGATTATTGTGTCATTGTGATAATTTGGAGTGAAGTTTTTGTTATTTTTTTTTTTTTTTAAAGAAGGTGAGAATAGTTGAAAATTATAAATTTCGTACTTAATTTGTCAATAAGTTCAAGCATGTATTTTTAAGGCACGAGGTCCAACTCATCTCAACTTTTTGTAATATTTACTACAATATTACCCCTTGCTTTCTAAATTGTGAGAAAGGAAAAAAATGATTCCAATGTTGGTTTTGAGGTAATCAAAACGGTTTTATATTTTGGACGGTTCATTCACCGATTTTTTTTTTCATTCAGAATGCGATTTACTCTATTCTATATTGATTTTACATGTTCCTTAGTGATTTTTTGTCGATTATGTTGTTGGATTTGCTTCCTTTTGGTTTAGCATACTGTTTTTGTTCGGATCTGGATGAGTTTGAGAATTTACTTTGGTGATAAGGTCATTTCTCTTGCAAAATGGCTTGTGAATAGTTTAGATAAGTAAGGTTTCGGCGTAATTAATTTTTTGTTATATATTTTAGTTTTTTCCCTCTATTTTTTTGTTCACTAGACCTTCAAGTTTCTTTTGCTTTGCATTGTTTGAAGTGGTGGCTCAAATTCAACAATGGCACGTCAGTTGTGAAGAAATTCAGCGTGGGAGGGGCGTTGATGTGAACTACCGATGGATTATAGGTGACGCTAGTGTAGACAGTAGGCATGGGGCTGTCAGTATGCAATGTGTTGACGGCGGATTTATGCCAGATGTGATTTGGATTTACACTGAAAGTGAGATAAATTTATTGGACAAAACAACAGTGGAAGAAATGTTGATGAAGACTTTTGCTTTGAAGTCATGGCAGGTGGGCGTCTCTGGAAGATTCAAGACAAAGGAGGAGGAAGACAACTTGGACAAATCTTATTTTTCCAAGTTTCAACAATTGCCATGGAGTTGCTGTACGAGACTGCCGTCAAGCTTTGGCTTATAAATAGGATTGCAGATTTCAGTTTTTGACAAGCTGAGTGGTTCCAAGTGAGGGGCGATCTTAGGTGATGAAAGTCATCTAGGGAACTTGAATTTGGGTTTTTGGAAATTGGGTTATATTCATGGGGAATTCGGAGGGAATGTGAGATTTGCCAAATTTTGTGACTAGAAATTTCATTATATTCAATTTTATTGTTTATATATTTTTTTAATATTGTTTTGTTCACTAATTTTTGTGGTAAGTTTTGGGTGGTGGTGATGGTGGTCGTTTACTATGTTTAGTTCACTATTTTTTAGTCTATCGTATTTGAGTTCACAACGGACTAGGAATTTAAAGTTCATTATTTGTGAAAATTTTGTAAACTAGAAATTTCATTCTATTAAAGTTCGTTGTTTTTGTAGTTCACTGTTTACGTTTTTTTAATAATTTTTAGTTTACTATTTTTTATATATGTTTTCAATTCAAAATTTTAATATTTTTTTAAGTTCACTATTTATTAAAATTTTGTGCAGTGAACTAGGAATTTCATTCTTTTAAAATTCACTATTTTTTGGAGTTCATTGTTTATATTTTTTTGAATTCACTGTTTTTCCTATATATTTCTCAATTAAAATTTTTAATATTTTTGTAATTCTTTTTTTGTGAAAAATTTTAATATTTTTTTAGTCATAGAATTCACTGTTGTTGAATTAATTGTTGTTGGTGGTGGAAGTAATAGATGGTGGTAGACAAAGATGTGTGGTGGTGGCGGTGGGTGGTGGTAGGTAATGGTAATGGGCTGCGATGGTTTTTGGGTGGTGATGGTTGGTTGCGGCGGTGGTGGTTGTTGGCGACAGTGCTGGTTGGTGGCAACAAATGGTGGTGGTAAGTGGGGGTGGTTGGTGGCATTGGGGGTAATGGACGGTTATGGTGGTGGGTGAGGGCGGTGGTGGGTGGCAGTGGGTGACGATGGTGGCAGTGTGAGATGGCAAATGGTGGCGGCGACAGTGGGACGACGATGGTAGTGGTAATAAATATAAAAATGAGATATTAAAAGATTTTTAAATAACTTTTTTCATTAAGGGTATTTTTGTCAATGGTTGATTTTATGGACCATTGGTCTTAAAAGTATTGAGGTTGGATCTAAAGTCAAAATAGTTCTCGACTTTGTACCTCTCACCAAATCTCTAAAAAAAAGAAACCATAATGTGAGACCTGAGCACACGCACCATGGTATTTCATAAATATTGTGGGTGAAATTGTAATTTATTAATATTTACATGGGGGTAAAAAATGCTAATTAAACTCTAATAAAGTAAGTATATTTTAGTTAAGTAATTGAATTGTTGAATTACGAGGAAGGGGAGAGTATAGGTGAAATTTAAATAGTGTCAAGTATTTACGAGTAGTTAAATGTGAAAATAAGAGGGAGCCTTAGTGTAATTAAGGTAAAAGGTTGCATGAGGGGACACTCACTTGAGTGTTGTTTCTCTAGCTTTGTGCTTGGAAGAAATAAAAAAGGGGGAAATTGCCTTAAGCAATAGGAGGATGAGACAGAGTTAGGAGAATGAAGAAAAATAGGGAAAAAGAAAAGAAGAAAACTCAAAGAGTTTTGGAGAGAGGGAGAGGGAGAGAGAGAGAAGGAGTTCACTGGAGTTGCACTTGCATGTGTTTTTGAGTGAGGAATTTATTCTTTTGTGTGAGTTGTGTGATCTTTGCTTGTTTAAAGGAGTGGATAAGAGCTATGTTGAGGATTTGAAGAGAACTTAGAGCTTTTGGGTGGAATTCGAAGGAACCGAATCACAACAAAGGTAAGGGATTCTTATGAATTTCTATGTTGTTTCACTTTTAAACATAGCTTTGAGTCATGGGTAAGTGTTGTGTGGTGTTAGAAATGAAGTTGGATAGAAGAAAATGGAGTTTGAACCAAGTTCTGGAATTCAGAATAGGGTTCAACTGGTTGAAGAAAGGTTCTGCTGATTAAACAGAGTATTGGTTGCACATCAACTGGTTGAAGCATGTGTTGAACCGGTTGATCAGAGCTGAAAGGGTTTCAACCGGTTAAAAGGTAATGACCAATCGGTTAATGAGGATAAATTTTGGCAAATTTAATGTGACGTTGTTGGCTCTTATGCAATTGATCTAAAACCTTATCAAGTTACTTAAAGGATCTTAAATAAATTCTTTATGGGTTTAATAGCTTACAAATACATGAAATAATGATTCAAACTAGAGTTGAAGCGAGTAAAGTTTAGAGTGGTTAAGAGTGCATCATTTGGAAGTGAGTTTAGGAATATGCTAACACGAGCATGAATACTTAGCTATATATGCATAATTAAGATTAAATGCATATGTGAAAGGTATTTATATGTGGTAATTATGATGTGTAGTAGGAACAGAGGTGTCAATTCCTACAACAGGAATGCTTAAGATCTTATTCAAGGACGAGGATTATGCGACATTGGGACTAGAGGTGGGTGTATTTCTTGTGTGTGCATGAGATTAATTAAATGTGTTTTATATGTTATAGATTGTGTAATTTGGTGGCTTATTGCTTGTTATTGGTACAATAAATATGCTTTATCATATTATTGACATGGTTGCAGACCATTGAGTGAGTTGATATGTGATTGAGTGAACGAACTTGTAAGTGCAATATGAATGATTTGCTGAATGCCTTAAAGGTTTTGTGTTATTTGTCGTTAATAAATAGCTGTGTAATTTGTCTTGTTAGTCATAACAGGATTGTGATTACTATGTGGTGTATGATTAGTATGAGTAACCTTATTTTCGAAAAATACATTAATAACAGTTATATGGCTGATGAGACCAATATTGTCAAAATGATAGACACGTAGTCTGTGTGGCAGAAATAATCTACGAGGCAAAAAGGGTTTGAGTGATAAGTATTGATATAACTCTAATAGGGGTGTTAACTGATATTGATGCATTGTAAGGTGACTGCTCAAAAGACAAAGAGGTTTATATGTAACTATTTAAAATGCGGGTTGGTTAATTGAATAGTTAATGAGTGTTTATACATTACTTGTTATTGTTGTTGTTAATTATTGTTTGATTGCTTATATAAACTCACTGATCATGTGTGCTCACCTTCTTTTAGTTTGTGCTTTCAAGTAGTCAAAGAGAAAGGAGTATTTACTTTTGAGTCTAGCGGTATAATAGGGAAGTGGGTTTCTTGTGTCTTATGAGGACATTTTGTATAGTTATTGAGTCTTATACTTGGGGAGCTATACATTGTACTAAATTACAATTATAAATGTATTATTTCATGAAAAAGAATTGTTGGGATATAAAGGGGAGTAAAGTTAAGTTGTAAACCCAAGAAAATTTAAATTTTTGTGAAAAGGGCAAAATGGTAATTAGTCACTACGGTACGGGTCGAATGACAAAACGGACCTCGCCGTTGGGTTCGTCTCACGAAACACTGTAGAATTTTTCACGTTTTTTGATACAATCGAGCGTCATGTGACTCAAATAAACGCAATCGGGTTTTAAATTGTAAAATACGAAAAATAATTTATTAGTTCGGATAAAATATATTGAACATAACACAAAATAAGATTTAATTGATTCAGAACAAAAATCAGATTAGGAAATGACGGGATGTGTGGTGCAGCAAGAGCTACGTCTACGTATTTCGCAACAAGAGCTACGTCTACAGATTTTTGGGAGAGAGAAAGAAGAGAGAGAAATGAGGGTTTCTTCAAGTTTCTCTCTATGATTTAGGGCCAACCGTTCGTTGAAACGCTTCGAGCCAAGAACTGAAGTTGATCTATGCGACGAAAGCTATATTTACGTTCCAAAAATAGTGGATTTTGTCGAAGTCTCAAGATCAAGATTTTTGAAAATCAAGGTTTGAAGCTTGATTTGGGTTCTTGAGAGTTTCTACCACTTGTATTACTCTTCAAGAGGTATGGTTCTTCTCCTAATTAGGTTTATTTTCAACCTACGATCTGCGTATGAAATAGGTAGTGTAATTAGAGGTGAAATTTCTTGTCTAAATATATTTCTAATGTAATTAGAGTACGTGAAATTATATAAGAATGTATTAAACCAATTTTGCATGAATTGAGTGTTGTTGAAATTGCTTGTTAGGTGATTTCATGAGAATGTGATGATTTGAGCATATGTGTTACATGATTATGTACTTTAAAGGTGTTTGATAAAATGCATATGATTGACAAATAAGTTATTTGAACGAAATTGATATAACATGTTTTGTGGTGATATTAGAATGTAATTATATGCTTGATGATATAAGTTACATTGGGGATTTGAAATTGTTCATATTGTGTTCATGATATGTTAAACATGATGTTGTTGTTGCAATTGAAATCTTAGTTGCATAATGATATGAAATGCAATTGTTCATTACATTGCATATGCACGGAAATCATCACATTCATTGACATGTGACATGGGTGTGGATGTATGCATGATTTTGATCAAACACCATTCTTGGTGGATAATGTATGAGCTCAAGAAAGTTAGGTCAAGGTTTAACTGAGTCGCACAGGTTTGCATTGAAAATAGGGTCAGGGTTAGCAAGAAAGGTTAGATTATCCCTGGGGTGCAAGACCGGTGATTTGGATAAACACTGTTAGTATTGAGTTCATAAAGTGTGTCAGCATTTGCAGAGCCATTGATGGAAGTCCATAGATGCCGTGTCGATTGGGTGCCCGTTGGTGGCAGTCTATAAATACCCACCCCAAGAAAGATCTGAGATTTATAAATGGTCATTGGATATATAAAATCAATGGCAGGGGCTTGGAATGCCTGGAGTCATACGCATGTCATTGCATGTGTTACGGAAGCCAGTGAAGACTCGGGTTACGTTGCATGTGTGAGTCTCACCTCATAACATGACATAGCATTGTGGCATTCATCATTGAATTGCTTGTTCTTGAATGGATGTATGTTAATTATTGAATTACATGTGAACATTTCATATGCATCTGGGTTGGAGAGTAGCCTCTTTAGGAGATATTCTATTAAGTCTGGCT